TTTTTTTTTTTTTTTTTTTTTTTTTTTTTTTTTTTTTTTTTTTTTTTTTGCTGTGTAGTACTCCATTGTATAAATGTACCACATTTTCCATATTCTTTGTTCGAGGGCCATTCAGGTTGTTTCCATGTTCTGGCTATGACAAACAAAGCTGCTATGAACATAGTTGAGCACATATCCTTGTGATACAATTGAGCATGCTTTGGATATATATCCAAAAGTGGTATTGCTGGGTCTTGAGGAAGGTTGTTTCCTAATTTTCTGAGAAATCGCCACACTGACATCCAGAGGGGTTGTACCAGCTTGCATTCCCACCAGCAATGCAGAAGTGTTCCCTTTCCCCCACAACCTCTCCAGTATAAGTTGTCATCAGTGTTTTTGATTTTGGCCATTCTTACAGGTGTAAGATGGAATCTCAGAGTTGTTTTGATTTCATTTCTCTGATGACTAAGAATGTTGAGCATTTCCTTAAGTGTCTTTCAGCCATTTTAGATTCCTCTGTTGAGAGTTCTCTGTTTAGGTCTGTACACCATTTTTTTAATTGGATTATGTGATCTTTTGGTGTCCAGTTTTTTGAGTTCTTTGTATATTTTGGAGATCAGACCTCTGTCTGATGTGGGGTTAGTGAAGATCTTTTCCCATTCTGTAGGCTGTCGTTTTGTCTTATTGACCATGTCCTTTGCTTTACAGAAGCTTTTCAGTTTCAGGAGGTCCCATTTATTAATTGTTTCAGTGTCTGTGCTGCTGGGATTATATTTAGGAAGTGGTTCCCTATGCCAATTGCGTTTAAGTGTATTTCACACTTTCTCTTCTATAAAGTTCAATGTGGCTGGCTTTATATTGAGGTCTTTGATCTATTTGGACTTGAGTTTTGTGCGTGGTGATAGGTATGATCTATTTTCATTCTTCTACATGTTGATATCCAGTTATGCCAGCCCCACTTATTAAATGTGCTTTCTTTTTTCCATTTGATTTTTTTTTTTTGCTTCTTTATCAAAGATCAGGTGTTCCAAGATGTGCGGATTGATGTCCGGGTCTTCTATTTGGTTCCATTGGTCCTCCTATCTGTTCTTATGCCAATACCGGGCTGTTTTCAGTACTGTAGCTCTGTAGTGGAGTTTGAAGTCAGGGATTTGTGGGCCCTGACAGGGATTTTGATGCCTCCAGAAGTTCTTTTATTGTACAGGATTGTTCTGGCTACCCTGGGTTTTTTGCTTTTCCATATGAAGTTGAGTATCATTCTTTCGAGGTCTTTGAAGAATTTTGCTGGGATTTTGATGAGCATTGCATTGAATCTGTAGATTGCTTTTGGTAAGATTGCCATTTTTACTATATTAATTCTGCCTACCCAAGAGCATGGGAGATCTTTCCACTTTCTGGTGTCTTCTTCAATTTCATCAGAGATTTAAAGTTCTTGTCATACAAGTCTTCCACTTGTTTGGTTAGAGTTACTCCGAGGTATTTATGCTATTTGTGGCTATTGTGAAGGGTGTTGATTCTCTGATTTCTTCACCAACCCTTTTATCATCTGTGTACAGGAGGGCTAATGAGTTTTTTGAGTTAATCCTGTATCCTGCTACATTGCTGAAAGTGTTTATGAGTTGTAGAAATTTCTTGGTAGAATTTTTGGGATCAATTATGTAAACTATCATATCATCAGCAAACAATGAGAGTTTGACTTCTTTTCCAATTTCTATCCCCTTGATCTCCCTTTGATGTCTTATTGCTCTAGCTAGGACCTCAACAACTATATTGAATATATATGGAGAGAGTGAACAACCTTGTCTTGTTCCTGATTTCAGTGGAATCACTGGGAGTTTTTCTCCATTTAGTATGATGTTGGCTGTTGGCTTGCTGTATATTGCCTTAATTATGTTTAGGTATGTTCCTTGTATGCCTGCTCGCTCCAAGACCTTTATCATGAAGGGATGTTGTATTTTGTCAAAAGGTTTTTCGGCATCTAATGAGATGATCATGTGGTTTGTATTTTTCAGCTTGTTTATATGGTGGATTACGTTGACAGATTTTGGTATGTTGAACCATCCCTGCATCTGTAGGATGAAGCCAACTTGGTCATGGATGATGGTTCTGATGTGTTCTTGGATTTGATTTGCCAGTATTTTATTTAGCATTTTTACATCAATGTTCTTGAGTGAGATTGGTATGTAAATCTCTTTCTTAGTAATGTCTTTCTTTGGTTTGGGTATCGGGGTAATTATAGCCTCATAAAAAGAGTTTGGTAATGTTCCTTCTGTTTCTATTGTGTGGAATAATTTGAGGACTGTTGGTATTAGTTCTTCTTTGAAAGTCTTGTAGAATTCTGAGCTGAAACCATCTGGTCCTGGGCTTTTTTTTGGTTGGGAGACTTGATGACTGTTTCTATTTCTTCAGCACTTATAGGTCTGTTTAATTTGCTTATCTCATCTTGATTCAATTTTGGCAAGTGATATTTATCCAGAAAGTTGTTCATTTCCTTTAAGTTTTCCAATTTTGTGGAGTACAGGTTTTCAAAATATGACCTGATGATCCTCTGTATTCCCTCCATGTCTGTTGTTATGTCCCCCTTTTCATTTCTGATTTTGTTTATTTGGATATATTTTCTCTCTGCCTTTTGGTTAGTTTGGATAAAGATTCATCTATTTTGTTGATTTTCTCAAGGAACCAACTCTTTGTCTCATTGATTCTTTATATTATTTTCTTTGTTTCTATTTTGTTGATTTCAGCTCTCAATTTGATTATTTCCTGCTATCTAGTTCTCTTAGGTGTGTTTGCTTCTTTTTGTTATAAAGTTTTCAAATGTTCTGTTAATTCACTAGTGTGGAATTTTCCCAGCTTCTTTATGTAGGCATTTAGTGCTATGAACTTGCCTCTTAACACTGATTTCATTGTGTCCCATAAGTTTGGATATGTTGTATGGTCATTTTCATTGAATTTTAGGAAGCCTCTAATTTTCCCTTTTATTTCATTTTTGACCCATTGATGATTCAGGTGAGCATTGTTTAATTTCCATGTGTTTGTGGGTTTTCTGGAATTAGTATTGCTGTTGACTTCTAGTTTTGAACGATGGTGATCTGATAAGGTACATTGGGTTATTCCAACTTTTTTGTATTTGGTGAGGTTTGTTTTGTTACCGACTATGTGGTCAATTTTTGAGAAGGTTTCATGAGGTGCTGAGAATAAGGTATATTCTTTTCTGTTTGGATGGAATATTCTATACATGTCTGTTAAGTCCATTTTAGTCATACCATCTGTTAGTTCTCTTATATCTCTTTCAATTTTTGTCTGAATGACCTATCCAGTGGTGAGAGGGGAGTGTTGAAATCTCCCATTATTAGTGTGTGGGGTTTAATGTATGATTTAAACTTTAGAAGTGTTTCTTTGACATATGAGGGTGCCCTTGTATATGGGACATAGATGTTCAGTATTGAAATTTCTTCTTGATGGATTTTCCTGTGACTAATATTAAATGATATTCTTTGTCTCTTTTGACTAATTGAAGTCTATTTTGTTAGATATTAGGATAGCTACACCCGCTTGTCCATTTGATTGGTGTATTTTTTCCCAACTCATTGCTTTGAGACAATGTCTGTCTTTGAGGTTGAGATGTGTTTCTTGTATGCAGAAGAAGGATGGATTCTGTTTTTGTATCCAATTTGTTAGCCTGTGCCTTTTTATAGGTGAGTTGAGTCCATTTACATTAAGGGATAGTAATTTAGTTTTCATTATTGGTGATGTTAATTTGTGTATTTTCCCTTCTTTGGTATTTGCTGCTATGAGTCCATCAATTGTCTGTGCTTTTGTAGGTATAGCTAACTTCCTTGGGTTGGAATTTTACTTCTTGTATTTTATGTAGGTCTGGGTTTGTGGCTAGGTATTGGTGAAATCTAGATTTGTCATGGAATTCTTGTTTTGTCCTTCTAGTGATTGAAAGTTTTGCTGGGTATAATAGTCTGGGCTGGCATCCATGGTCTCTTAATAGCTGCATAGTGAATTTTATCACATATCTCTGCAAAACTGACTGCAGAGAAGATTCCATACATAGAGAGACAGTTTCCAGATCAAGCTGTCATCTCTTTATTACCAGTTGTGTACTAAAAGCTTGGAATAAAATAATGCCTTTATACTGTAGAAAATGATTCCTTTCTTAGAGTGTAGGTGTTTGTGAGCCTTCTTTAATCTCCTCCCTTGCCAGTGTCTGATCACTTATAAGTCTTTAATATTTATGACAATTTTATTTGGAGCTCAGGAATTCCTTCATATTAGATAACAGGATACATAGAAGTTGTGAGAAAAATAGAAAATTCTGAAGTTTTTCAAGAAAATATTAAAGTATATGCAGCTGATATTGTAAATGATAAAAAATGTGAACAATCTCAATGCATAACTGGTCCGTGGAGGAAAAACTAGTGGGCAAGCGTTCATGTTTACTGCATCCTGAAGATTGTCTGATGGAACAGATTCTCAGGCTGTATCAAAAATAACTAGAGGAGCTGGAGAGATGGCTCAGCGGTTAAGAGCATTGCCTGCTCTTCCAATGGTCCTGAGTTCAATTCCCAGCAACCACGTGGTGGCTCACAACCATCTGTAATGAGATCTGGTGCCCTCTTCTGGCCTGCAGGCATGCATGCAGACAGAATATTGTATAATAAATAAATAAATAAAATTAAAAAAAATAACTTTAAAAAAAATAACTAGAGGTGAAAATCTGAAGAAAATTTAACTTCTAAACTAGTAATTTCTGTTCAACATGTTTGGCCTCTAAGGAAATTTCGAGAACATGCCATTATCTTTGCATTTCTTTAGCATCATATTGCCCAGAGGAAATACTTTTAAAATTTTTATAAATTCCTTTTACTCCTTATTAGTTTTCTCATTTCTATCTCAAATCTGATTACTTTGTTATTTTAAATTTTTGTGCCAGGAAAGAACATCAGTATTAGCAAGACTACAGTGGTGCACACCTTTAATCATAGCACTTGAGAGGCAGAGGTAAGTAGATCTCTGAGTTCATGGCCAGTCTGGTCCACAAGAGCTAGTTCCAGGACTGGCTCCAAAGCTACGGAGAACCCCTGTCTCAAAAATCCAAAATAAAGAGGCATGGTATTTATTCATTTATTTTGTTGATGTTGCTGTTAAGTGGATAACTCCACAGTTTTCCTTCAACATCAGAGATCTGAGAAGGAAAAGTTAGAGCAGGAAGTATAATCCAGATGGCCTCTGTGTCAATTAATAAATATTTTAAATGCCATATTCAATGGATCTATAAGGATTTTGAGGACCATCTATTAAGTATGCCTGAATTTAAACAAACTTAATTTGTATATACTTACTTCTCTCTTTGAAAACATGTATGGAAGACTAAAACTTGTTCTCATAAATGAATTATATTTTTGCTAAGTTTAACTACATAGTTTTGAGTACATGGAAGAATTGAATCATCTCTAAGGTGACTGATCATTAACGTATATGTTTTAATTATCTTTCACAATTTATAATAAGTTGGTAGCTTCTATAAGATGAGGATTTTACAGTTTTATCCCTGTTAAGTTTGAGTCTTAAAATTTTGAATTCAAGATCCCTTAGCATTGAAGTAAAACTTTAAAATGCAGTTCTAGTTCATAAAGACAAAAAAGCTAGTCATATTTCTTTAAGTTGGTTTCTGCTAGCCTGAGTAGACATTAGGAATTTAGGTCTCACTTATAAAATATATCTTGTTTTTTATTTTAAAAATTTTAGAAGTCTAGTGTCAACAAAGAGATAAGTGGTTAAACTTACACTTAACAATGACCTAAACTGTTGACATACATCTCTCAGTCAGCTTTTTGTCGACTTGAATAATCACCTTAGGAATTTAATGATATATAAAATCCATTCTAGTCTAAAATACATTAGAGACCTGCTGGTGACAGTTTGGTCTATAAAAAATTACAATAAAACCTAAAGGGGACAGTTGTACTAGTCAGTTTTATAGGTGCTATGTAGTTGGTTTTATACATCATAGTCATCTCAATCCAAATGATGGTGAATTCAATGGTGTGTGTTCTTCAATTTTTCTAAAGATGACTTCTGAACACATGGTTGTTTTCATCCTGATGAGGTCATCAGTCCAGATGGAAGCAAACCACATCACTACTATTTAAAAATTTCTATTTTTGCAGTGTTTTGTTATAGTCCTATATTCCTGAACAAGAGTTGAATCATATGTGTAGTATACTGTAGTAAATAAAATTTCTTATTAATAGGTTTAACTATCAGCATAATTTTATAAGCATCAAGCTAAATTTTTGCTATGGTTTTTTTCACCATACCAATGAATTTATTAATCCTTAGATTAAGAATTTATAGCGAAGAGATAGATATTTCTATGCTCCATGTGCCATTTATACATGAGTTTAGTCAAAATAGTCAGTGGTTGCAAAATACTTAAAGTTGATTGATATTAGCAACTTCTGATTGTTGAGCTGTACAATGCAGGAATGGGTAAAATATTTTCTGTGGGGTATATATAATTTGTATTTAAAATTTAGGCCCCCTTGTTTTTTCAGAAAGCCATATATAGAAGCATTAAACATAATAACTATAAGATTTTTAGATGTGATTTTAGGCAAAACCTATGGAGTACTTTTTTAAAAATCTTAGATAGGTATCCTTTGGATAGTATTGTCTTAGTTACGGTTTCTGTTGCTGTGAGTAGACTCCATGACCATGGCAATTCCTATAAAGGAAAACATTTATTTGGGGTGAGCTTATAGTTCAGACATTTTAGTCCATTATCATCATGGTGGGTGGCATGCACACAGACATGGTGCTGGAAAAGGACCTGAGAGGCAGCCAAGTATTGGGTTTGGCTTGAGCATGTGTAAGACCTCAAAGCCTGACTCCACAGTGACACACTAGCAATGCCACACCTCTTAATAGTGCCACTTCCCATGGGCCAAGCATTCAAACACAAGAATCCATGGGGGACATGCCTGCTCAAACCACACAGTGATTATAGATCCTGAGTCAGATTATAGTGCAACCTGCCAATTATTAGTACAGAACAAATATCCATCCTGCATTTTCTTTGTGGTGTGATAATCACTGAGGTTCTTTACCAATAAGGGACTGAATCTATAAACTATCCAACAACATTACTTAAGAAGCTAATAACCTGCTTTGTTTCATGTTGTATGCATGGTTGTAATGCTGGTGTCCTTGTATAAGGCGTTGTCTGATCCTATGGAACTAGAGTTACAGACAGTTGTGAGCAGCCATGAGAATCCTGCCTCCTGAGAATCCTCTCCAGGTCCTTTGGAAGAGCAGTCAGTGCTTTTTACTACTAAACCATCTCTCCAGCCTGAACAGTCCTCTTTTCATTATACACTCACTCTTGATTTTATGGTTCTCATGACTAAAATATCCCTTGGAGTTTCTAGAATCTCCTGTCATTCAGTGTCCTTAATGATGAATCCTGTCAACATCACAACAGTGCAGCAGACTTGTTTACGGATATTTTTCCCTATGTCAGAAGGGCTTCCAGCTCTCTTCTCACTCTTGGTGACCTTTAGATTTATATCCAGAATACATATGCCTCCTGTTTTTTTGTGCTTTTATTGTTGTTTTAATTAGTATAATATATAGTATTTATTCATTTTCTTCATTTCAGGAAATGCTGTCATTCAGTGATGTGGCCATTGATTTCTCTGCAGAGGAGTGTGAATTGCTGGACCCTGATCAGTGGACTTTGTACAAGGATGTGATGTTGGAGAATTTCAGCAACCTTGTGTTCCTGGGTGGGTTGTCCTATGTTTAAATCGTTGCTGTCTTTAGGCCCTGACTCTCCTAATCAGGAACTGCAGCTCCAGCACTGCCAGCAGTGCTTGTGCCACAGGAGCTGCAGCCTGAGGGAATTCTGTTCCCTCGTGCCCCGCCTCTTTCAAGGCTATGAAGGGAACTTGTATAAATCTCTGTCCTTCTAAGGAACTCAAGATTCAGAAGCTGAGGTGGACTTCCTCTCCGCAGAGGGAAAGAATAGCAAATAGCTCGCCTCCTCTCTTTACTGTGTCTACAAAAAAGCTCTCATTATTCTCCACACCTGGACTTAAAAGCTTTTCTCCACCTGGTTCCTTCCAACCTCTTTTAGTCAGCTCGTTGCTGACTCAGCATCCTGAGCACAGGTGAATTTTATTTAGTCAAGCAAATGTAACATATCTTTCCATCCTTAGTCACATGTTCCAGAGGATGAACAAAATCAACACACATTGAAGTAATATTCTACCACATAGGTGAGGGACTCTTCCATGGTGAACTCTTAATTAACTGTCAGCATCAAACTTGATTTATTTCTTCAGTACCTCAAGGGTGCTTGTGCTTCCAACAATGAAATTTATGGGGCATATTTTAGGGAAATTAAGGAGAGTATTCATATACCTTACAATGATTTTATTTCTTCTCGTGTTCATAACACCTTCCCTTTGTTTTTAGACGTATCCTTTATATTGGGGGTAATGTCATAAAGTAAGGGGCATGAGTGGGAAGCATCCAATGTTAAAAAAAAATACCACATTCTTTGATTTTAATATTTTTTTCCTGCAACTGGGGAGCATGAAGCTCAGAACCTGCACATCCTCATTTCCTCCTATGCATTCTGATGGCCCCGTCAGGAAATTCATTGATTATATCCATTCTTTCCTTATATATACAGTCCTAGGCAGGACATGTGATCCCCAGGAGAACACACTAATAATGATGTTCTCTTTTCCCATGAACAGGCCTTGCCTCCTCTAAGCCATACCTGATCACATTTCTGGAGCAAGGACAAGGACCTTCAGACATGAAGAGACAAGGAGCAGCTGCCATGGAAACAGGTGTGTAGGAATGAGGGGACAGAGGCCAGGGTGAGAGGTTTGCAGAAAAGGAGGCTTTATCAGCAACATTAACTCACAATGTTCTGATGGACATATGATTTAAAGGATCTCCTTTTGTAGTTTACTCTGAGAAGAGAATGTTCCTGGAGCTTTGATTCTGTTATGCTTTGTCCTTCTACCATTAGATCAGCCTCTGTTTACAGTAACTGACCAAGCTCTGTAATTTCTATGTAAACAGAGTTTAGTTTTCATAAGTTGGTCAGCAGATCCTCATTCATGAGATGTGCATAAATCCTCCTGTCGTCAATCCTTTAAATATATTATTTAATATTTAAAGGCACTATTTTCTATTCATTCAACCAAATTTTCATACCTTCAAAATCTTAGCACTTGGGATGTATATGAACTATTAAATTATGTGTCTTCCAACTTGGACTACATTTATACTTTGTGTTCATCTGGACATAAAATTTCTATATGTGTTTAAGTGTCTCATTTAAATTAGCATCATAGTTTGTTTTCTTAATGGTGGATGCTATGCCTTCCCTACATGTTTGACATTGATTCATACTCATTTGTTTCTGTGTTCTGTGTTGTCCTGTCTTCGTCTTTCACTTCTAGCTATGTAATTTCAACCTATCACGGTGGTTTTAATTAGGATGCACTGAATACATCTTTAGAATATTGACTGTAACATTATTAATATTAAAAAATACATGTCTAAGCCAATGCATCTGTTTTAAAAAATAAATAAAAATAAATAAAAAATAAAAAATAAAAAATACAGAATTTTGCTCAGGTTTCATTCATTTCTCAACTTTTACTCACCAGGAAACAAACACTCTACTGGCAAAGAATGTGGCAAAGCCCCTCCTTGGAACTCACAACCTATTAGCCACCAGAAAATTAATCTAAGAAAGAAGCCATATAAGTGTGAAGAATGTGCTAAGACTTTCCGTTCTCCATCATTACTTTGTGTACACAGGAGAATTCATACAGGAGAGAAGCCCTACTATTGTGAAGTGTGTGGCAAGGGCTTCCGTGCTCCATCATTACTTTCAAAACACAAAATTATCCATACAGGACAGAAACCCTACAAGTGTGAAGTATGCCAGAAGGCCTTCTATTTTCCATCACGACTTTCTCTACACAAAAGAATTCATATACGAGTGAAACCCTACAAGTGTGAAGTATGTGACAAATCTTTCTGTTCACCATCACGACTTTCTGAACACATGAGAATTCATAAAGCAGAAAAACCCTACAAGTGTGACGCATGTGGCAAGGCCTTCAATTATCCATCACAACTGTCTCTACACAGTAAGATTCATACAGGAGAGAAGCCCTACCAGTGTGAGGTATGTGGCAAGGCCTTCTGTTTTCCATCAAAACTCTCTCTACACAATAAAATCCATACAGGAGTGAAACCCTACCAGTGTGAGGTTTGTGCCAAGGCCTTCTATTTTCCATCACAACTTACTGTACACAAGAGGATTCATACAGGAGAGAAACCCTACCAGTGTGGTGTATGTGGCAAGGCTTTCTATGTTTCATCACAACTTTCTTTACACAAGAGGAATCATATGGGCGAGAAACCCTACAAGTGTGAAGTTTGTGGGAAGGCCTTCTGTATTCCATCACAAATTTCTGAACACCAGAGAATTCATACAGGAGTCAAATCCTACAAGTGTGAAGTTTGTGGGAAGGCCTTTTATTTACCATCACGACTTTCTGTACACCAGGGAATTCATACAGGAGTCAAACCCTACAAGTGTGAAGTTTGTGGGAAGGCCTTTTATTTACCATCACGACTTTCTGTACACCAGAGAATTCATACAGGAGTCAAACCCTACAAGTGTGAAGAATGTGGGAAAGCCTTCTATTTCCCATCACGGCTTTCTGACCACAAAAGAATTCATACGTCAGAGAGATCCTTCAAGTGCGAAGTATGTGACAAGGCCTTCAAAAGTAAACCAGTACTGTCTGTACACAAGAGGATTCATACAGGAGAGAAACCCTACAAGTGTAGTGTATGTGGCAATGCCTACAGTCGTCGATCAGGACTTTCTGCACATAAGTGGATTCATATAGGAGAGAAACCCTACAAGTGTGAGTTATGTGACAAAGCCTACAATAGTCGAGCAGCACTTTCTATGCACAAGAGGGATCATACAGGAGAGAAACCCTACGAGTGTCAAGTATGTGACAAAGCCTACAAGAGCCGATCAGGACTTTCTGCACACAAAAAAACTCATACATGAAAGAAACCCTCCAAGTGTCAGGTATGTGTCAAGGACTTCTATGTTGCATCACAAGTCTGAACACTAGAACATTCATACAGGATTGAATCCCTTCAAGTGTCAAGCATGTGACAAAGCTTTCTATATTCCATCACAACTTTCTGTACACAAGAGGATTCATATAGAAGAGAAAGCCTACAAATGTGAAGTATGTGGCCAGGCCTTTACTGATCTGTCATAACGTTCTAAATATATGAGCATTCATACAGGAGAGAGACGTTAAAATTGTAAAGTGTGGCAAGGATTTTGAATCTCCATCAGCACTCTCTAGACACAAGAGAAATCATACAGGATAGAACCCTGGAAGTTGGAAGTGTGTGTCATTGTTCCCTGCTGCATCATTCCTTAAAGTATTTGAGAGAATTCATACAAGCAAGAAATCATACAACTATGTAGAAAGGCCTCTATATTCCATCATGACTTTCTGTACAGAAGAGCTTTCATATAGGAGAGAAGTCATACATGTGTTAAAAGTGTGGCATGTCCTTCAATTACTCATCAGGACTACCTATATACATGAGCATTCATACAGGAAAGAACCCTAAAGCTGAGAAGTGCGTGGCAAAGACTTCCACTTTCCATCATTACTTTCAGAACACAAAAGCATTCATATAGGAGAGAAACCCTACAAATATGAAATATGTGGCAAGATCTTTAAAATGTCACAGATTCTTTCTGCTCATTTCATAATCCATTCTGGAAAGAAACCCTACAAGTTTGAAGAATGTGGAAAAGCCTTGTGTAAAATGTCATACCTAACTCAGCACAAATTCACTCACATTGGAAAAAAACTTCCAAATATGAAGAATGTGGAAAACTATTTAACTATACTAGAAAACTTAAGGAACATCAATCAATTCATTCTGGAGAGAAACCCTACAAGTGTAAAGACTGTGACAAAGAATTTAGAGCTTTCATCATGTTCTCGGTCCCAGATTATTCATATTGGGGAGAGACATTGTGAGTGTGGAGAATGGCAAGGCCTTTCAGCCGTCTTTGGTCTTAAACAACATCAAAGAATACACTTGTGAGAGAAACCCTGTGAAGAGTGTGCCAAGTCTTTTGCACTTACTTAGAACTTTTGAAACACATGATAATTCATGCTTAAGAGAAATGCCAATACTGCCAAAAATGTTCAAAATAAAAAACTTTAATAATCTTTCAAGTGTTTCTCAAGACCAGGTAGTTCAAATTGCAGTGAAATAATACAAGTGTCCAAATATTCATGAAATATTATGTTTTATACTTCTATATTACCTAAAATATATCAAAAATATTCTGGATAGAAACACTTCAGATAGGGGTGACATTGTGGCATATCCTGCTGTGTATTTGCTGCTTTTATTGACTGATTACTAAAGCTGTTTCGGTCCATAATACAAATGTTAAAATGAAGAAATCTGCACTTGCTCAGAATTGAGTTTAATAAAGGGTTTTTTATTTAGGGGTAGACTCACAAATCACAGTCCTCTGCACAAACGGAACAGGAGCTGAATACAGCAGCTGGAAGAGAGAGAAAATGCATGCTTTACATCAGCATTTATAAGAGGTCATGCCCAGGTGTGGGGGTAACTTAAAGGCTACTGGCTGTAGGATTTCCAAAAGCACCTCTCCATTTTGTTTAAATAAGAGAGTTCTAAGCTTGATACAAAATTATATACAATAAAAACAAATAAAGGGTATAAAAATTAGAATAAGAACCAGTATAAACAATGTCAAAGAAGAAACGTGATAAATGTTTCAATAATTATCCTATCCTAGGGAGTTTAAGTCTTATAAATAACTTGGTGAAGTCATGAGAGGAAAGTAATTACAACTATATAGTCTTTTTGGTTGTTGTTGGTTTGGGTTTTTTTTTTTTCAAGAAAGGGTTTCTCTGTAGCTTTGGAGTCTGTCCTGGAATTAGCTCTTGTAGACCAGTCTAGCTTTGAATTCACAGAGATCCACCTGACTTTGCCTCCTGAGTGCTATGGTTAAAGGCATGCACCACCACAGTCTGCCTTAACTATCTAGTCTTCAATCCCATCAAAGACCTGAGAAGGGAAATAATATTACTTGAATATGCATGAAGTGCAATCAAGCAACTTCCAAAATGTGCAACAAAAGCAGAGAAAACAGGCTACCTGCACAATCACCCAAAGTCTCATTTGCAGTGTTGCAGCAGCGAAGTTTGGATAAGGCATAGAGTAACTGACAGTCCATTATCAGAGGCAAGAAACTTTTCAAAACTATGTCACCCTGTCTTGGCAAGATTTGACAGTATTTTTTCTTGTATCCTGCTTGTCCTGTCTGGACATCGTGCATTTGGTCAGTAGTTGATGCATGGGCAGTTCCTTGCCCAAAAGCCAGTTTTGCCAAGAAGAAAACAAGCTCCAATTGTAGTGTCTTCAGTGCTCAACATTCTCTAGGAGAAAGATTGGTGCTGCCTGGAACAATCGTGTCTCATGACAATAGAGCCCTAAGTTATTTAAATGCCCAATTCTACAACTCTTTGAAGTGGTTGAAGATTAACTATCTATATGGAATACAATCTATATGTATCCAAAAAGTATGACAAACATGGATGACTATTGACCTATAATTCTTAATATCTATATAAATTAAAGACTAAGGCTTCATATTGGAATATTAAACAATCTTTAAATAACTGTGTAACAAATTAGGACAATGACCTCAAAATGTAAACAATGTATAAGTATCTTGATCAGAGGTACAAATGTATATTGTAATATGATAAATATATCCTAAAATTGTATCAATATACAAAATGTCTTAAGCAGAGATAGAAGCATGCATGCATACAATATGACAAAATAACTTTGCCTAAGTATACAAACAGTAGATGAAAATAGGAACTTATTTAATATAATTTAAGTTTGTATCAATATACAAGAATCTATATCAATGTAAATTGCCTATAACTGATAGCTCACATGTATTCACTCTATTTCTCAGTGTACTATTAATGTAAGTAAGCTCACATTAATCTATTATCCCATCCAATTTACCTTTTTCTTTTTCAAAGAGATCGATCCCTGAGCCTACATAATTTCCACCCCAACCCTATACCAATTATAAACAACCCCTAAATGATGTCCCTAACCCTGAGGACAAACTTTGTTGGGTTAGGGGACGATGTCTTCTAGAATTACTTCCAGCTATCATGGGGGTATTATTTCTATGGGATCCTGTGAAAGTAAAATGATGGTTAAGTTTCAAGATTACTGTGAGGTATAATTGTAAATAACCCCTGAGTATTTGGTAGGGTTTTTCTGAAGTTCCTATTTTGAGTTCTGACCAGAACATTGTAAAAGAGTGCACCATTTCAGCTAACCAAGTTGGAACCATGTTGAGAACCTGGTACCCAAAATAGGTCTTATAGTAGTGCTATCAGCATCATGATATCACATCAACCAGGTTGAGTTGTTGTTGTGGGATCCCCTCTTCTTCCTAGAATCTTCAAAGATTGCTGCAGGAAAATTCATTATTCCTTATCCAAAACTTAAACACTTTATACAGACATATATTCGATGAAAGGTACAATAGAGACAAAAATAGGTGTGAATAAAGTAAAACTTTTTTCTAAATCCTTTCTTCTTTCTGCCCTAAATGTGACAGCTTGTGGTATGAAACAGAAATTCTGAATTTTTCTGTTAAAAACATGCTTGGATTTAAAGAAGGACAGAGCCCTTGTCCAACTCCAAAGCCAGCTTGTTTATTAAGGGAGTCATGACTATTATTCCATTTAATATTCAGTGATTCTTATCCTCAGATGACCTTTCCTCCTAAGTGATAATTCTCTTTGCTTGGTGATCAAATCTGATCAACCAAGGGATTCCTGAGGTCCCAATACATGGAAAAGGCCCTGGCCTCCTCAAAACCAGGTACATGCTTGGCAGAGTCAGTATTGGCTCAAAGCCAGACCATGGGGAGCTTTTCCCTGCAGACTTGCTGTATAAAGAAGAAACACAGTTCCTTCTCCAAGACTAGAAATACGTGTGGGAGAGCTTGGGACCATGACCTTGGGGGACTTGTGTCTTCAGATCCTGAGACCCCAACACTTCCCACAGGTATGTGGTTGTCAGTCCTAAGACTATTGTGTGCTCTGTTTGTAAAATTCCTGAGATACTGTGTGCTCCCTTTGTTCAACATTGTTTAGATTCCTGCTGACTTTTTCCCACTGTACAATAGTTTCTGCTGACTTTGTCCATTTATCCCTCTGCTAAGAGTATATAAAATGTCATATTTCTTAATAAGTTTGCTTGGAATAAGGTGTAGCTTATACAAGATCGTCTGACCCCAAACTTTCTTATCTTTGTTATGGAGTTTGTGACCCATGGGAAAAGACCATGATCTGAACTACATAATTTAGGTAAATTTGTTAAAGCTGCTAGCAGAGCAACACTCTCTGACAGACATGAGATTGTCATCTGAAGGGGAGTGAAGGAAGGATATTTAAAGGCAAAAACCACAAGAAGACCTTGAGCATCTGCACAAGCGGCCAAAGAGCTGCTCTGCTCTGCCAAGGTTAGGTAGTCAAAGTGACCTCAGATCTGTCTTCAGATTTTGGCATAAGCAGTTACAGAAGCCAAAAAGCAGTCAGTCATCTCACAACACTCAGATAGTCATGGCCGTACATTTGTTGTGTGTAGGGTTCCTGGAAACTTATCTTCCAGAGACGAATGTCTAGTGGGCACCTGCCTAGCAGAAAATGGAGTTTCTTTAGCCAACCCGGTCTTCTCTGCATTCCTCTTTATCTTCTGATCTCCTGGTCCATGAAGAATGATCTGTTGGACCAGGTCATCAAACCATAAAGCAAATGAAGCTACAAAATCCTGAATGAGTAATCCTAACGGATGAGGAGACTACAGACAGAAAACTAATCAGAAGAAATGAAGAAAGCCACTACATGTACATAAAAACGGACACAACTAACACAAATGTTTCTACAAAAACCATCAGATATCACTAACAGACATGGAAGACCAAACAGACCATCTTCAGGGAAGATGAAAACAGGACATTTCAAGATTGCATTCTCACATCTAGACAGGTCCTCAAAACAATGTGCAAAGGACCCTCCAAGGTATGGACTGGGTTTACAAGATAACTGCAGAACATTCCACACAATAGATAAGGATACACATTCTGCTCACTGGCATAGATATCTTCTCTATGGACCACATTTCATGCCACAAACCAAGCCAACATAAATAGAAGAAAAGAAATAGTCTTGTGCACCCTAGCAGAACACATTGCACTGAAACTGGAAAAGAATAAAAAGAATAGCCAAGGAAAATGCACATATAACCGGTGATTAAATGATGCACCTTTGAATGAACAGTGGCACCGAAGGATTGCACAGTCAGCTCGAAGTGGACTAGTTATACTGAAAAGTTCTTCACTGAAACAACGAGATCTGAATGAAAAAAACATCTATGCTGCAATTCCGAGATGAAAAAGAAGCCAAACAGAAATACAGATGATAATAAGAAATGACCAATAAAAATGATAAAACCCAGGGCATAATTCCAGAGACTGAAGGACAAAGAGAATTAACCAGCGTGGTCCTTTATGAAAGCTCACATGACTGTATCCATCCACTGGCCAACCAATTAGAACAAAGAGATGATCACGGGATACACTAAAATCTGTACACCTAAAACTTCAGAAATGCTTAGAAGAAATAGATCCTTTTATAGACACTCATGGCCAGTGAAAATAAAACCAGAAAATATAAGCAGCCTAAACAGACCGGTAACACTAAGGAGACTGACACAGTAATTAAAACTTCCAAGGAACATCTAGTATCAACACTTTTCAACCCCTTCCACAAATAGGAAAAGACACACACTACCGAAGTCATTCTAAGGAGCCACTGTAACCCAAAATTCAAAAGTACACACACACACACAGAGAAACACACACAGAGAAACAAACACACACCATACGAGCAGACATAATTAATATAGAGTTTTTAAGAAAATTAACTATAGTAAAACTTTGACCTTATATCTGACTTCATTCCACCAATGGAAAATTGGCTCAATATATGCAAATCAATATATAATACACAATAAAATAGACAAGCAAATCACAAAATCATCTCATGTAAAAACTCTGAACACCAGGCATGAGTCACTCAACAAGAGTGGTCATGCCTGG